CACACACACACACACACACACTGTTCTCACATCTCTAACACTGTTATGTGTGAGACGCTGTTTTAAAGTGTCACTGCTTTTGTCACCTAATGAGACCAGTGTGCAGAGGCAAAGGCCTCTCCTACTACTATCCTGCATTTCACTTGCGTGATGTGCTACAGTCAGTAAGCCAATATGCAAGAAATTATGCAAAATTTTATTATATTGTAAATATGCAAATAATGTTTTTGTTTGGTGTCTGATCATAAAATCATTATATCCTGTCCTGAAAAACAGATGATTTGTAGCGCCTGCTACCACTTTTGTTATGTGCATCATTTCAATTTCATGCTAGTATTCTGCCCACAGAAGGATGTTTGTGATTGGAATGCACATTACCAGCTTATCCTTAAAGTAACAGATTGTCAGAGATGCCTGGTTTTATGTTAGGTCTGTCCGTTCTCTCATTATTTGACTGCAGTGCACTCTTTTCCCCAGTAGAGAGAGCTCAAGTGAGTTCCCACTTTTCTCACTGAGAGTGCACATATGCTGTAGTTTGTGGAGTTGCGGGGCTTGGTGTCCAGTCACTTTGACTCATTTGCCTTACTTCTATTATCCTGTTACTTCACATAAATAATTAAAGTTTCAGGCTGGATTTTGCTTTCATTCCATGCAATAAATCATCCTGATCTTTCAAATGTGACAGTTCTTACATGCAGATCCTGGTAAAGACTTGGAGGGGAAAAGCAGCAGTTCCTCAGTTAGTGGAGGATGGTCATGGTAGTGAGTCAGTGCTTTTTGGTCTCTGTGCATCATTACATCATTGTCTTTTTCTCTTGTACTCTTATAGTACTCTTTATCAAACATTTTTTGGCATTTTCTCTCATTAGTGATTAAAACAATGAGATTTAATACAGGTTTCATCAGATGGGTTGGGAATATTACAGCAAGCGTTCCAAATTATTCAGATTGTCTTCAAAATAGTCAAACCTGCCAATGACTAGATGCACTGGCAGGTGCTTATTGTTGTGACATTAGCAGATGTGTTTTGAAGAGGTTCATTTCCCTTCTTTAGCCTTGTTAGGGCACCTAATCCAAATGTTATTTTCTATCAAATCCACTTAATAGTTGAGCGGAAGCAGAGCTGTCTCCTTCCCTCCATTTCCATCTTTGTGTGATGTACCGTGATGCTCTGACATAAGTTCTCATGGGAGCCTTTCTTCTCTCCTCCCCCTTCAAGTTAAAACGCTGGAAGAAACAGCACTTTATGAAGGTCACACACTTTTAAATGCATGTGTACACACACACACACACACACTCATGCACGCACGCACACACACGCACAAACAAGCACAGTGTTAGAAAAAAGGCATGTGAGATGAAGGGAGTGGCACTCAACTGTAGAAGGCTGTCTACTGAAAATATGACTGATCTTTTCACCTGATTGATTTGCCCTTTGCACAGGCGTGTACTTGGTATTACTTCAGCGTCTTAGACTTGTGATTTTTGCCAAGACCCTCTATACACCTAGCAATCTTCAAAACTCTTTTAGCATTTTCAAAAACATCATTCTGATGGGAAAAACATTTTTAATTATATATTGTGAGGAAATATGAATTATTTTATTCTATGTCTCTACCCCTCTTTCTCCACAGTACATTAGAAACGACCTTTGACACGACAGTAACCACTGAGGTGAATGGGCGGAGTATACCTGCCCTCGCTGCACGCTCCTCCCCCATGTCCTGGCGTCTGGGCCAATCACAAACCCCGCGTCTCCAGGCAGGTGACGCCCCCTCGATGCCCAGTGGCTACGCTGCGCCCAGGGCGAGCACAACAGGCGCAGGCACCACCACAGGGCGCTATAGTGGGCACTCAGACCCCTCCAGGTTTGTGTACATTTAAGTAGTAAGCCTGTGGCTATTTTTTTCTCATTTTCAGTCTTTAAGACACGACACGAGTAACCCTCCCCCAAAAAATGTTGACCAGTGCAGGACAGTGTTTTGAATATTTATCTTAGGGCTATTTGTGATTTCAGTAACTGAATGAATTTTTGATGTTTATAGTCAAAATAAGTTGAATTGGTTTTAGCTGATCCCTCTGTGCCACGCTGTGGTGTGAAACAGCATTCTGTTTAGTTTTGCCTCCTACATTTATTCCTCCCTCTGAATAATGTAGCTCTCAGCCTTTTTATGCACTGAACACAGAGTTCGTAGATTTTAAACATGTTGCACCACCATGTAATCCATGTAAATTAAATACATAACTATGCTTTGCTGTATAAAGAAGAAATATCTTTGTGCACAATATCACTACCACATCATTTATACTCAGTAAAAGTCCACTTTAAAGGTCATTTGTTTGCTAACATGTGACAGATTTCCATTTCAGTGTGCAGAAATTCATGCTTAGTTTGTATTCATACAGTCACCAAGGCCTTACCTGCCTTTCTCTGCACATTAATACCAATAGCTTACTGTCATACAGCAAGGCTATGTATACTTTTTCATAGTAAAACCACACACAGGATGTTTCAAGTAATACATTTATGTGAACCTTGAGAGGACTCACGACACTGACAGATTACCTGAGTGAGAATGGATGAGTTTGTGTCTTCTGCAAGTCATTACAGCAGCAGGCTTCTGACCTTCATTCGCTCAATAGCAATAAATGACTTAAGCACGTAGGAGAAAAGGCTTTTCACATTTCACCCACACAATCATGTGAGCACACACTCCTAATAGAAGATATGCTGTAAAGAGAAAACTGTGAGGGAATGGTAAGGATGAGGTGTGATGTAGCAAGGTATCTGCAAGATTAAAGAAGAAGAACAGAGCAGAAAATGTAACAACATGTTGGGAGGGAAAGGTGATTAGCTGAATTATTAGCTTAATTAACTCAGTGCTAATGGCCCCCGTGTTCTACCAGCCGTGTCTGATAGCTATCTGGAAGTTGCCTCACATCTTACCGCTCGTTCACTGTCAGGTACACAGAGACACAAACTCGCTTCTCTATACCGACTTTCCAAAATCCACACACAGTCTTCATGTTCATTATTCAGATTAGCCATCAGACAGCCAAGGTAGCATCTTCCTTTATGTTTAGTTGACATAATTTGCTTCTTCTTCACTTAAACAAAGACCTTAAAGTGTAAGAGCCACGAGTTAAAAAAGAATAACTTTCTAAAGCAAACTGAAGTTAAACGTTTATACCTGTAATTTGTTCTCCCCTCACAGATACCTTACAGATGGCAGCCTTCATCTGTATGCACGGAACACCGGCCGAGCCTCAGATGCAGCTTCTTCTCGAGACGTATCCCAAAGAGGAAGCAAAGAGATGCAGGGTGACATTGACAGGTGAGGATGGAGACTGTCATAGCTGCCTGTTTTTCTGGTGCCTGTTTGATTCATTTGTGGTCCACACCCGGGAGTAGCTCCGGTTTCACACTTTTTGAGATTCATGCAAGTACGTTGTTAATATTCAAATTTGAACACAGCTTTTCACATTCCACTTTTGATTGTTGGCTTTTAGCTGATGTTTTCCTCTCCCGAGCATCTGGCTGTGAATTTGATAGCTTCGTTGTCATTCATTTTCAACCATAGCCAGGTGGGTGTTTGCTAAGACAAACCCACTGGACTGTGCTTTGCAGCCAGTGATGCATGTGCGTGTGAAAAAAAGCAATGTGCTGTGGTCAGAATGGCAGAAAGGTTGGCACCATAGCAACTGCAGCCATATCATATTATACCTGATTGTATCTGTCGGTCAAAGCATTCAGCACAATGAGCATTATGGAGCTAAAAAGCATGAATATCTGGGTATATTACCCAAAACAATTAAAGATATTAGATATCAGTACAAAGTTATTAAAGCTAAAGGAATATATAGGCTTTTTAGGATACAAACCTAATAGGATACAAAGTCCAGAGAATGGACAAGTGACTAAGGCTACGTCCACACGAGCCCGGATAGATTTGAAAACGTCATTTACGTCTGAAAACGCTCCGCGTCCACACTATCGTTTTCAGTCGTTTTCACAGAGTTGTGCGTCCACATAGAAACAGCCGAAAACGCTTACGTTCCAATCCTGTGCATGCGTGGAATGCAAGAAAATTCGACCTGCCTCATTTCTGTCTGCCATTTATTTACTTTCCGGCTCTTTGAAACGTTGTGGCAAAATGTCATTCCTGGTTTTTAGATGTGCCTGGCATAAAAACAAAGGGTAAGAAGGAAGTAAGAAATATGTCCTTCAAAGGTTATACAAGTCTGCTGTAACACCATCAGAGATTTAAAGGGGCGAAGGAGGGTTGGCGATCGATTTAAAGCTGTCAGGCTAAGATTGTGATGACAAGCCATCAGAGAGACTGCTGGGAATTGACTGATGCAGTGACATTTCCCAGTGTCACAGCTTCAGCTTCTGTCAAGATTTTAATGAGTGGCAGCGTTTAGTAGTCCTGTGATTTTAAAGATTATGATTCTGTTAATGCTACATGTACATGGTTACACTAGGCAGATTTACACAATGTGACGCATGACTTGCAGATACACGGTGATATTTTGCTTGTAATATGTATGTTTTCTGTATATGATTCAGTTGTTTTGCAACCCAGGCAGTTTTTCCATTTCTTGGTTATGTGCTCAGCCTCACAAGCTTGTTTGTTACAAGCCAGTCAGTCAAGCCAGTCAGCCCGAGGTGAGTTTGATCATATCTGTGATTGGCCAAGCGGCAAAACATACTAGTCCTGACCAGAGGTTCAGAATAGGAGATTAACCTGCCCCATCAGTCTCAAACCGATTGACCTATCAGATTTGACACTGAGGCAAAAAGATGTCTTAGGATAAGAATGAAAATGAACCAAGCAAACTGCCAAGGCTCAGCTTCACCCTGCATTTTATCTCTGTATTTAAATATTTTTGCCTAAACTGTCTCTCACCTTTCCTTGACTTAAATCCAAAAATGCTGTGCTCTTTTGAACTAAAGTCAGCAGTAGCACTTTGGGCCTCAGGGGCGATGAGGAAATATTGATGCCCGCAGGCTACAGACTCCCAGAAGGAAAAGAATTTGAACTCTGGAACCCTGTTTACTTCATTCCTTCCTTCCTTTTCCTTTATGAAATCAAGTACATGCAGGCAAGCATATACACAGAAATGCACAAAATGCATGCCTCTCACGTGTTATTGTCAGTAGCTAGGCTGTCACTTCCCACGGACACATGACGAAACTCAGGGGGCAAATCCATTTCTCACTCAGCTCTACATTTCAGCCTGGCTTTACCTCTGTGGTACAGCGTGCTTTTCCATAAAGCCCCTTGGCTTGAAGTGAAATGAGTAGAGGATGAGGCCCAAGTTTAAATAATTTGTTCACTGACTTTAAACAACTTTTTACCTCAGATGTGTAAGCTGGCTTTCTAGGAATGACGAATGCAAGAAAAGTATTTGATCTCGCACGTTTCATGTCCAGCTATCTTGATTATAACTGCTTAGGAGGTGAACATGCTGTATCCATGAAATTCTGCCTGCCCTGTAACTGGCAGCTAGTGTATGATACCTTTCTGTCTCAAATGTCCGTCCAACTGCTCTTTTGTCCAGGTGAACATACTTGGCTTAAATTACTTGGCTTGGTCATAATTTTAGGTGATAATTAGTGCATTGAATGACTGTTAATATTTCTTCTGCATTTATTATCAAAGTGTTAATCAGATTATATTTTTAATTTAATATGATTTCCAAACTATTACACTCTGTTTTCATTTAACACAGCATCCCAATTATGGAGGAGATTGGGTTTTGACTTTGAGAAATTCTTAGATTAGAGTCTGGGATTTAATCCGTCTCTGGCTGATAGTTTGATAGTGTAAGTTTACTTTGGAACAAATTATTTGTTCACAAGAGATAACTGTGCATTTATTGTTCGTGTTTTTTTATCAGCAAGGTAAATAATTTGTGGCCATTAAAATTCCCCCCCTCGTCCTTCTCCTTTGGATTTCCTTTCTGTCATAAGTAATAATTGGAAAACTGCACACACAAGGACACACACTTACACTCATGTCTTTTACACCACCTCAAGCATGAGCACGGATACAAAAATGCACATTACTCTCTCCGCAGTTCTGCTGGCAGCAATAGACAGGGTTCCTCAGAGGCAGAAAGTGGAAGTTGGTCTGTGTACGTAAACTGAGTTCCCACGAGGCTCGTTATGTTTCGTGCTTTTTACAGTCCATAACGGCTCCCCTGGCTGCCATCCATGGCATTTTTATCCCAAACCAACACAGCCCCTCAGGATATGTATCTAAATGACTCATCATGGCTGGCAGGTGACTGAAACCATCTGGGACTAGGACCACGTGGACTTAATGTTTACTGTAGTGGTCATGACATGAGATACTGTATGTGCGCATCTCCATTTCTTTTTAAATGAGCTGTGCCAGTGTGTCTATGTCTTACAAAAAGACAAAAGATTAGAAGAGGAGTTTTATTTTTGAGTGCTTTCATCCTCAGTATTAGGACAGAGCCTAATTTTTAACCAAGTGTCATAGAACAAAGTCAATAAGCGTCACACGTACAGCTGCTTTTGATAGTAACTTTATGGTTTCCTGCAGGTGACATTGTGGTTGGAGATATTTCAGGTTTTCCGCATGTGGATTCCAATCCCACTAAACTAATAATCTGAATACTTTAATAGAATTTCTTTGAGATTAGCACAAGAATTCATTGGGACTGTAGGTGAAGATTTTTTTAGTCAAAGGTCAAGGTCACTGTGGAATTAATTAATGACAATTAATAACATTTTACAGTCAGACAAATTTGGACAAAAGGCGTAAACTGCAACTTGACTGGCTGTCAGAGGCATCCAATCGCAAGGTAGTATTCCAGTGATTTCATCTGTGCTAGAACCGAGTACCCTGGAGCCAACCATCTGCTTGAAAACAGCTGAATGACAAAAGCTCAGATCCCTCTTCTGATCAGTCTGCTTCAAAACAATGCTGAGTTTAGCCTTGGCTAAAAGCACCTGCCTAAAAATACCTTCTTGTTATACAACATAGATGAGCACATGCTCATGGCTCTGCTGTCAAGAAAAGACGCCCAAAGAGAGTGTTTTGACACCAGCAGGCTCCCCGCTCTCAGTAGAGACATGAATAAGTAACAGGGCTTCTCTTTTAGCATCCCGGTGGCTCGAGTGTGTTGCCATCTCTTTCTCGCAGCTGGACTGTGGCAGCTGGCTCTGCGTTTTTTGGTTGTCTAAAGCTTCGGGGGCTTGGAGACAAGTTTATATGTGTTGAAAGTGTGCTGTGGTTGTGTTGTCCATGCTTCACAAAAGAAAGCTTGTTGGTGTACTACATTTAAGTGTATTTAGGTTTGGGTGTATGTGTGTTTGTGTGCATGTACAGACTTCTCCATATGCCGTGTGTGCTGCTGAGCAGCAGGATTCGGCCTGTCACTCCGCGTAGCAGTGACAGTCGCAGAGAAGCCGCTCTACTTGTCTTTGCTGTCGTAAGCAGGGAAGAGATTTAGAGGAGAAGGTTTTTTTACTACCAATGACAAACGCAGTCATTATATAAGTCTCTCTCATTGATCTCTTCCAGGGGCCACCGCTTAGGAAGAATATATTTGTATTGCACCTGAAACTGGAGCGTCTCAAAGCTTCTGCTATCTAAGCTTTCTAAAGTCTTCTGGCAACTGTCAGTTTTTCAGACATTTGTCCTTTTCAGTATTTCCACCTCAGTGCACACCGGCTAAACTTAACAAATTGTGATAATTGGGACATGCTTTATCACTGATTTGAGTACCCAACTGTGTGTATGTTATATTAGATATATTTCCCCTCAAAAATGGGCAAATTGTGGCCCACACAACCAGACTCTAATTAGCCATCTCTTCATTCAAAGATGCTCGAGGGAAAGTTTCCCTGTTTTTGGACGCTCCGTTTTCCTCCTGTTTCCTGTTTCGTGTGTGTGTGTGTGTGTGTGTGTGTGTGTGTGTGTGTGTGTGTGTGTGTGTGTGTGTGTGTGTGTGTGTATGGCAATAATAACTTTTCTGTGTGGAACTTCAGGAAGCACATGCTGCTAAATGCAAGATGGACATGACATTTCTGACTTTAGGAGTACCATTGAATCCTGGTCTTATCTATGTTCCCAACACATATACACCAGCACACATGTACACACGTCTTTCTTTATATACACACACACTATTGCTTACCCACACACATCCCATAAGTCTTACCCTGAACTGACCCCTCACCTCCTAACTGCACCTCAAAACTGTTTCTGGGTTCCACTTTTCCTCACAGTCAAATATGTGTATTTGATCTTCCAATGTATACTCAGCTGATCTGTCAAATGTACAAATAAATGTGATT